ACAGGCAAGAGGGGCCGATAAATCTGTTAGGTTTTATAGTTTTCCCAAGACTCGGTAGTGGAAAAACTGTGGGTTATTGCTTGTTGCCGTGAAGACAAATTTAATGAAGGGTGATGCAGTTCCTTCTCTTTATCTACCACAATAAAAAAATAGGACAAATTTAAGAACGTACCAATCTCATTTTGGTATTTTTCGATAAAAAGCGATCTTTTCATGGTTTGAATAATCGACTCATAGCATTTTTGGTCATTCATATTCTGTTACGCATTTGAGTTTCACAAGAACCTACCTACATTACTAATGTAGGCTCCTGAATAATTGAGTAAACCATTTCAAATTGGTTCGTTCAAAGCACCAGTTGTTTGCAGTGAGTTTGGATAATTGCTTTAGTTTTCTACTAGCGTTTGAGATATTTTTGACTGCGATACAGATATTTCACAGTATATACTCCCCATAAAAGTTAAAGAGAAAACTCGAAAAATTTCCATCTGAGCGAGTTGGATAGAAGGCAGATATTTATCTTAAGCGAAGCCAAATTTTCTTTTTGGGAAATCGCGAATAGAGTTCAAAGAATTGTAGATACAGTATTAGATGTTATCTGGCATGGCGTTAAGAATCCGAACAGAAAGATAGAGGGCACAGGGTGGCGTCGAAGAACAACAGAGCCTCAAGATCATCGCCTAAGGCTGACGCCTATACTATACTTCACTACCAGATCTATTGCAAATCAGTGGTTTACAGAACAAAGAAGACCAATTAGGATGCAAACAAGTAATTATCGAATTCGCAGTTTTTGGTTTGTTTTTTCCTTTTGGCCACACTGGGAGCTACCTCTTACCCCTGATCATCGACATAATCGTATTAAATGGTACAGAAAACGATTGGTTTAGGACCAGAGATGAAAAAAAATTGTCTTTAGTGATAAATCTCTATTTTGTTTAGGGATGCATGTTGGCCGAACCAGAACCAGAAAATGGCGTGATTAAACACGAAATCCACTGAACTGTTGGGGTTGTGGTATAGCGTGCCATCACCTATGGTTTAAGGTCAGCTCTAATCCTTGTCAGAAGAAACATGACTGCTCACCGATACGTTAAAATAATTCTGGTACCTCCACTCTTAATCTATTTTAAGACTCTCCAATTTTTTTAGCCGGATAACGCAAGGCACTGCGAGGGTCACCATGAATTTCTTTGAACAGGCTGGAGCCAATCTTGTACTCTGGTCCTCGAGATCCGCAGGTTTATCCCCAATTGAACACGTATGTGACGTGATTGGTCGGAGATTTCTCTAACTGAATAAAGGTACTTAGGGTATGGCACGAGATATCCCTCGAGGATATTGACCAACTAATTGGAAGTATGCCCAGGTGCGTCTAAGAGTCTGTTGTTTCATTAAGTTGCATTATATATATATATATATATATATATATATATATATATATATATATATAGCGAGTATCTACCAGAGGCGGAGTTAAGTTGCATTAACACATTAACACATTAACACATTATTAATTGATTTGCACAAAATATTTTCAAAATATAATAATGTATAAAGGGTATTCGGATTTCTGTGTCACCTAGTAGGTATATTATTTTCGCGAAAAGATATCTTAGTCGATATACATAAATACCTGTTTCAATGATTTTTTTTTGCAAATAGTTGTGCTCTTCCTTTGATTCTATATTTACCAAATTCATACCGTGGTATCTGCAGAATTGTTCGGCATGCAGTAGGTTGCCCTGCAAATCAAATATTTTTATCAAATAATTTTTGTGTGCAGTTCTACAATGTAGTAGTATGAAGTAAGTTTTTCTTGTAATACTAAAGTTTTTAAAAAAAGAAGAAAAAAGAACTAAATAATTTTGTATAAACAAAGGTTTATTTTCATAAAATTTGCCCAGGAGTTAACACAATGTTTACACTTACTTTAGAAAAGCTATAAATATTTGATTAGGATACTTAGAATAATAATTGGGATTTTGAGATTTTAACTAATATTGTTTGTACCATTAATTTTGAAGGTTCACGTACGTAGAAAAAAATTTTGAGAATCAATATATGAGATTTTGTTTATTGAAAACATTTGAGTGTGAATTTTATTTCATTATTTTTATTTCAATATATTATAGTGTAATATCATATATGTGGTTTTTTATTATTCCGGTATTCTTTGGACCTTACCTTTCACATATAATGCATAGATATTGAAGCACGAATATAACCCTGAGATAAGAGAAATAAAAAGTGTGATAGAGTCATAATCATATCATTTAAATAATTTTAATAATTAATTCATTAATTAGCTAATTAATTGCTTGGCGCACTAAGACTTTAAATATCACAATAATATATATATATATATATATATATATATATATATATATATATATATATATATATAAGGATCACTCAGACGAGTGGTGGGTTCTTATATCGGTCTCAAGGTGGAGAAATAAAAGACAAAGTTGATAGGCTACTTTATCTATTTTGAAGACGTTTCGCTTTCGTATTCTAAAAGCATCATCAGTTCATCTAAAAAGTACAATATGTGAACCACACAATCATGGAAACGATGTTATAATTGTTACCTTAAAAAGACATGTAGCAGTCAAAGTTATTTACAATTATGTGAATAAAACTCAAGTAAATGGACATTATACGGTGATATTGTATAAACAATCAAGTAACTAACAACATATAGCAACTTATAAAAAATTAGCACAGCAAACATGTAAAGTAAATGAAATATTATTTAATCTTAAGTAGTGAAAAAGAACCAAGAAAATCATAGATATACTTCCAACTATTTAATAATTATTAAGCTTAGATTTTAACTTTAGGTAGCATTATACGTGATATTAATAAAAAATTTATTTAAAAAGTACTGTAAATGAAGTTACCGATCAAAGCCTTACAGCTGCCGCCGGAAAAATGGCGTTAAATGAACCAGAACGAACTAACCGCAAAAAGACAGCCAACCTTGAGGTCAAAAATCTTTTGACAGATCAACAAGGTGGAGGTACCACCCCAAATAATTGGGCGGTCAATTTAAAAGTTTAAATGTGTGTGGATGACAACCCGCTTGTAAGAGACAAAACCAATGAAAGAAATTGGTATTATAATAGCAACTCCTCGCATTCATCAGTTTAGAACTACCAAACAGGAGAATTTCATTCAACCTCATATATAAATAATAACGTTAAACATTATGGCTAGATAATCCGCCACAGGTGATCAACGATAAGTTAATTTCCACAGCCCAAGGTTCAGACGCTTGGAACTGTAATTTGAAAAGGATTCTATGAATCCATTACAATATTTGTATTATGTTATTCTAGTAGAAAATTGTTCACACTAATCTAAGCAATTAGTGTAAGAATATTCAATGTAAGTTGCATATGCTACAGTGAATTAAGTAAGGAATATTTAATTATTTTATTTAATTATTAGTTTATTTCTATTTTATGTATATTTTAAATATTTAATAAAAATTGGAAAAAAGAGTTCAAGTAGTACACCTTGCATGACATTTATATAATAAAAAGATCATAAAGCCTAATTCTGCAAAATTAAAGCATGGTATATTTGGCTCAAGTTACTTATGTCAGTTCTTTTATTTAAAGCATTAGGATGTTTTAGAATTGAACACATTTCTAAAAACTGTCTTTTAGCTAGATTGCGTTCAGTGGCAAGAATCTTAACTTCATTGAAATCCACTTTATGTTTAGTATTTATCGCGTGTTGTGCCAGGGCACAAGTGTGTTTTGATAAATTAATGTCACTACGATGTGAGGTGAGACGACCTTCTAATGATCTACCAGTCTGACCAATGTAACATAAATCGCAATTAGCGCAATTATATATACATATATATATATATAAATATATATATATATATATATATATATATAGTATATATATTATATATGTATATATATATATATAGTATATATATATATATATATATATTTCATAATAACATACTTACTTTAAAAGATTACCAATGTAATAGCTTTTCTTTCCTCGATGATGTAAGTTCAATGTTGGTATTGTATCTTTTAATCCAAATAATTCTAAAAACAAAAATATATTATCATGCACTGTAAATTAAATAAATATATATTAAGCCAGGTTTACACGAATACAGTTCTCACTGGCACGCCAGTTTCTACTTAGTGAAGTCAGTTGTTAATGTTTTGTCAGTGTGGTGTGACATTAATTCATTAATTTTTTTTGGAATTTGTTAACAATTTAAATATCTGACGTAGATAATAACGTACATTGGAAAGTATACTGTACTACTGTAAACTCTATTTAATACTTGTTTTTGGTAAATATCATCAAGCAAAAACACAGCTGTCGTTTTGCTCGATGGTAAATATATAGATATTTTATATTTGCCTACAAAGCTTTCCTGCAGAGTTTTAGTAACTTAAAGTAACAAAATTTAGATAAAAAAATTGTTGATTGACATTTAAGCATTGATCCATGATGTCAAAAAATCTATGACGTGTATTAAGATAGGTTTGAATCCAAGTGCATTAAACAAATATCTAATCATTTCTTGAATTCCTTGACTTGAAATTGTAGAATTATGTAATGAGTTTAACCTTAAGACAATAATTCCATGTGGCTCCAACATGATGAAGATCGAACTATGCGCATTATGTTAGACAATACCTAAAAAATATTGGTCGTATTGCAAAACTATTATAAACCAACATTAATATAAATCGGAGATTTATCTAGATCCTTCCCGTTTTAGAGATAATTCGGGCGTTCGATACTTAATCTGTATGATGTACTGTATTGACCCAAAAACTAATTTGTTTATAATTGAGTTAAAATTTAACCTTGTTAAAAAATATATGCAAAAAAATGGTAAATGAGAGACTGAATAAACTCAAAAATCATTTTAAGAACATAGTTTAAAGGTTAAAGAATATCGCTTTTGCAATATTATATAAAATTTATTTAGTACATTAAAAACATACCTTGAACACATTTGGTATTATCTTCACCGTACGAAGATTGTAAAATTAAATACATAGACAATACTATTAGATTAAGGTTTTTAAAAATCATTTTAATTAATATTTAGCACATTGAAATTTACAATAATTAAATCTGCAAATTGACTGATACGTTGTTACTTTTATATCGTGTGAAATGTAAGTAGGGGAGATTATGATAAAAACTATTTGTATTTTGGTAATTCCATATTGGAATTTGTAAATTTTTAAGGGTCATTGCGTCCCATTATAAATATGATAAAACTTGTATAATATAACAACTTAATAAACATTGTAATTTTTTAAATGAAAATCACGCAGTGCATCGTATTAAAACAATTTATGTATCTGTAAATTAATACAAAACACAAATAATCGTTAGAAAACTAAAACGTTGCTCATAATATGTCAAATTAAGCATAATATGTATACAATACAGTACCAAATACAAAAATTGTAGAATATATTCAATGGAGGCTCAAAGGAAGAGCAAATAATCAGGATTTTAGAACGAATTGATTGTCATAAAAATTAGTTTCTTATTTTATAGATGCCTTAGATCAGTGGTCGCCAACCTGTCGATCGCGAGCTATCGGTAGCTCGCGGAGGCAATTCTGGTAGCTCTCACAACGATTTTAATTTAAAAAATACAAACTGCAAAAATCAGAGAAGCTTCCGAAAATTCCACAAAAAAATATAATTGTCATAATAATAAACATAAACAGCGGCAACGTTGCGGTGAGCGATCTGTCCCTGACGCCGTCAAGCTAGAATCGGCTATTTATAGAACCGACCAGCCGGACCAGCGCGGTTGGGTTAGTAGAGAACAACAAAAATAATATCATGGCAAGCAGTTGTAAGAAGGTAAAGACATACCACTTTCATTCGGAATGGAAGAACAATACTTTTTTTACAGAAGTTAAAGATAAAAATGTGTGTTTGTTATGTAATACTTTGGTCTCCGTTGCTAAAAAAGGAAATATTGAGAGACATCATAATACTGTACATTCTAATTTTGAAAAATCATTCCCACTATATTCTGCCACCAGAAAGAAGAAACTGAAACAGTTAAAAAAACAGTATTGGACAACAATCAATATTTTTAAGAACAGTCGACAAAAATAAGGCTGCAACTGAAGCATCATACCGTGTGTCCAAGATAATTGCACAAAAAAAGAAACCTTATCATGACGGGGAAATGATAAAACAGACGTTTTTAGAAGCTGCTGATTCGTTATTTGCCAACTTTAAAAATAAAGACGAGATAGTTTTAGCTATAAAATCTATGCAACTTTCTACAATTACAGTGATAAGACGTGTAGAAGTAATGAGCAATGGTATTTTTTTACAGTTAAGAACTGACTTAGATAACTGTGTTTATTTTTCACTTCAACTGGATGAATCAACAGATGTCGTTGACACTGCCCAGGTGGTCGTGTTTGTCATGATGATTTTTATTGATTTTACGATTAAAGAAGATCGTTTGAAGTTCATTCCACTGAAAGGACACACTACTGGACAGGAGTTGTTTTCTCATTTAAAAAATATTAATTCTTCCAAGAAAATTTCACTATCAAAAATGGTAGGTTTGACAACCGATGGCGCTCCAGCTATGGTGGGTTGTGATAAGGGTCCGGTGGCGTTATATCGTAAAGATGAAACTTTTCCGCAATTTCTCTGTTACCACTGCATTATCCATCAGCAAGCATTATGTGGAAATTTCCTAAAACTAAACAACGTTATGAAACTGGTGGTAAAAATTGTGAACAAGATTAGAGCTCAAGCGTTACAAAGAAGATTATTCAAAACCTTGGCCGATGAAGTTGACTGTCAATACGGGGACCTACTCTTTCACTCTGAAGTCCGATGGTTAAGTAGAGGACGGGTGCTGAAACGTTTTAATGATGTCCTATCTGGCATAAATCAATTTTTCAAACAACGCGATTAATGGACTCCGGAACTAGAAAATTCAATCTGGCTTAGAGATTTTGGATTTCTCGTAGACATTACTGAGAAATTAAACGAACTTAATTTGCAGCTTCAGGGAAGAGACAAAGAACTAGAGGAAATGATTTCTGATATTAAAGCATTTATCAAACAGCTGGAGTTTTGGGAACACAACCTAATTAACAGCGATTCCAAGCATTTTCCTATTCTTTCAGAAAAAATATCTCAAAATACATTAGAACCCTATGACAACAAACATCATGTAGAAATAATTTCTACCCTGAAGAGTAACTTCCAAAATCGTTTTAAGGATTTTAATAAAATGGCTTTATTAGCGCAGTTTGTTGTTTCACTCTTTATGGAAATTGATATCCAGCAGTTTGCAGCTTGTGTTATGCAGAACTTTGGCGAAGACATCGCTGCAACAGTGGAGGTCATTGAGTTTCAAAATGATTTAGCCTTAAAATCGTTAGTCTGAATGTATCTGGCCTATTGTAAGTAAAGACAAATATTCACTTCTATGCCGTGTTGCCTTGAAAGTGAAAGCATTATTCAGTTCAACTTATTTGTGTGAATATTCTTTTTCCAATATGAAGTTTATTAAGAACAAATATCGCAATCGACTTACAGATGAACATTTGGATAGTTGTATTCGAATGGCTGCATCAAATTATACTGCAAACATTAAAAAAATTATCGATGAGTCTGACTGTCAGCTTTCTCATTGAACGTGCGTTTTTATTTTTCAATGTTTATATTTATGATAGTGCGTTACTTTTTTTGTTATTATTATTAACTATTTTTAAATCATACGTGACATGCCGTTGTGGCTAGATAAAAGTTTGTGTTTATTTTTCAAATACCTTCGTTTGATAGGTAGGAATGTAGCTATGAACAAGTATGTACTAGTAATATTAGTTATTTTGTTATTAGTTTATTATTAGTACCTACGTATTATGTATTACCAGTTAAAGAGTAAAATAAATACATATAATGATATATTAACTGTGGATTATTTCATTTACGTTGCGTTACGTGGCTTCCGTGTGGGTAGCTCGCTGTTTATTCCAAAATTAACAAAGTAGCTCAACACATTGAGGAGGTTGGCGACCACTGCCTTAGATGAAGAAAACTAGTCCTTGTTAAATATATTTTTTGAGAAAAGCCCTTTATCCTTTTAAATTAATAAACGGAAAAGGGTCTAGTAACTTTTAGTACAGGTAAAACTGAAACTAAAGTACTTCCTAGAAACTCCCTAGAAACTAATGTAATCTGCAGTATTTTTAAAAACAAATGCATTTAAACCTCCTTTAACAAATCCTGAGTCGCTACCAATATGGCTAATAATAAGTCATTTTCCCTTTCCGGATGGGGCTTTTAAACCTGTCGACAAACCAGTTAGGAAAGCTTGTCGTTTGCTTTACACATTTAAATATTTTTGTCACAGTATGTCCTTTATTTAACCATATTTCTTCTGTATGTTATTTGTTTTAGATACTTTCTGCGCCATAAAATAATTTCTTATTTTTTAATAGGATTTTTTACCAAGAAAGTTTCGATTCACCAGAAGATTTTGACGATTAGAATCCAATCCACCCAAAGTTTCAAAAGGGGACTATGCTATTGCAAAAGTTTATGGAAAGACTAACGCAACCTGTAGGCATTATAATGTGGTTCACATTGATGACCATTTGTTAAACGGCTATGATGTTAGTTTTATGAAACGCCATAACCAAACACGAGATTTCTTAGAAGGCGACCCCGGTTTTGTTCCTATTGATGATGATGATTTACAAACTGCCTCTGCCAATAAAAAGTAGCAGTGCCAGGTTTTCTAACAAGATTTCTTTTAACATAGACTTTGATGAATTTGACTTTACTTTATATTAGTTCAATAAAGAGGTAAAGATAAACCTACTAGGTAGGTTAACTGGTCAAAATTGCAGATTATTACGAAAATCATACCCCTATTCCTATAGATATTTATTGAACTTCAAAAACGTATTAAATGGTTAGTCAAATAACAACGAAACACAGGATAAATATTGGCTTATTTTGAACCAGATACTAAGTAAATATTTTTTTTTTCAAAAGATGTCCAGTTAACCTCACTCTACCCTACTATCGCTCTTCTTCTTTCTCTTGAAATACCTTAGTTCATTTCACGCAAATTACGTAACAAAACACGTCTTGATTTGAATTTGAATTGAAGAAACAATTTTTTTTGTAGTTCGTAAACCATTTTTGAAATAAAATTCATGTACTGCACTACGAATTGCTTGTTTGGTTGTATCATCCAATTTTATTTGTTTCCTTCCTATTATCTCAACCTTTAAAGAATTATTATTGTTAGTTCCAGCGTCTGTTTAATCTGTACACAGTAGCTTCGAAAACTTTCGTCAAAATACTGCACAATGTAACTACGTCGCTTACATTCACATTTTGTTTAATGGCTCTAAGTCCCTCAAACACTTTTTCGATCATAGTTTTTTCTTCTTGTGTTAAATTGTAACGTTTCTTTTTGCTATACGGTTCATTATACTACTGTCAGCCATATTTATTATTTGTCATAAAATTGAATTAAAAAACTAAATTACCCAGAATTACTAAAAATTTTACACAATTTCCATCTTTTTGTGTCATATGCAGTTGCCTCTTCTAAGTCTCTTGCCGCAATTGCTTCATCAATATCGTTGCGCCAACTTCTCCGTGATCGTCCTCTCTTTCTTCTTTCAGGAGGGATCCATTCCAGTACTCTTCTAGGCCATCTGTACTCTGGCATTCTTTTAACAAGTCCGAACCAGAATAATTGTTTTCTTTCTATGTCATCATTGATATTTTGCTCCATTTTCATTTCGTTTCTAACTCTCTCCAGTTTCGATCTACCGCAGCTTTGTCTCAGATAATCCATTTCTGTCGTCATAAGTTTGTTTTTATTAGCTTTGGTGACGTCCCATACTTCCGAACCGTAAAGTGTAATACTTTGAACTATACTACCGTAAATGTGTTTTTTGGTTTCTCGTCGAATTGTTTTTTTGCCAGAGAAGAGTTTAAGGCACGAATCGCTGCTCTACCCTTGTTTATTCTTTTCCTGATTTCATCTGCGCTATTTCCCTTCTTGTTGAAAATGACCCCTAAATATTTGCAGAATTGCACGCCTTTGATTTTGTCG